AAATGGTGATGTTAAGTCGTTTCGCAATAACGTTCTCGCTCAGCTCGTGTGACAGCATTTTTCCTTCTTTCTGTTTTTTCCCCATGGCATACAAATATCGGGATACTGTTGACTTATTAACATTAAGCTGTTCAGACAATTATTTGAGTGTTTGAGAAGAGTTTTCATCCAGCAAACTTTGTAATTCGGAAACTTCAAATTTTGTCGACTGATCTGGTCGTTGCTTGTCATAAGGGTCACAATCGCCAGATTTGAATTGTTGAAACCATTGTCTACACATAGTTTTAGATGGTGCTCACCATAAGTCTATACAAGCAATCAATGTGTTTCAACTGCAGTTTTTTTCATATTGAAGTAGTGTGGAAGTACACATCGAAAAAACAACTTGTCACGGTCCATTTTAACTTGCCGTTCGAGGCAGTGTCTCAACTAAATATGGCGTCTCTTAGCTGGAAGTTAGTAATACCTGGTCATCTTTCAACATGACATAAGCGATATCTGTTCATATTAACGTATTAGGTGAACAACTTTGCTCCCGCCGTTTCCCTATAGATGGCTTTAGTGGAACTTAGCGGTCAAAGTAAATAGATCATATACGTCATACAATCAACTTGTTGCATCTGTTAACATAACCTAATATTACAATGTCGCATAGCGTACGACAAGTGGTCCTATTTTTGGTCAAGGAATTGAATCCCTTTACCGAGAATGGGAGCAAATTGGAATAAATGGGAAGAAAATATAAGGACGAAGTTAATATAATTACATATACGCGAATTTTATTTATGAAAAGAAGGAAGAAGATTATTTTAACATAGAAATAAGATTAGCAATATAAAATTTACATAATCGATTATTAATTCAACGAACATGAATAACAACGTCTGGCGCGAAAAGTTACAAATGAGCAAGATGTCTATCAGTATCGGCGAAATTTATTTATCGCGTGTGTATATGTTTATGTGTGTGCCTATGGAGAAGGCAATTAATTAGGAGTAGGATGACATGAAGTCGTTAATAGGCTTTATGGATGTTGGTGACGGAAACGTAGGCGTATTCCAAAAGAAAAACGGGAACCGTTCTAGAAAGTCCCACGGGAAACGACTCGATGATCCGGGAGGTATATTCCATATCGATCAAAGGGGAGATGATATTAGCGAGTGGGACTACGAGCGAGAATCGTGAAAACTGCCGTTATGGGGAAATTAGAAGGACTTTAGAAGAGTTGGGGGAGAATAATTTGGGTCTGGGAGAAAATTACTCGGAGATGAATTTATGGTTCCAAAATAAAGTTTATATAAGCATCTTCATGTTACGACGGACCAACTCTGGGTCTTCGAGGACAATCTCCCGTACTACGTCAGCATAAGCCCGATGCATAGATACTTCCTAGGAGGTTTGCATTGAGCGAGAGAAGGTACCATGAATTTGTTAACTCACTAATGATAGAAAGATAAAATGGTGAATATGGGGTTACTCACTTTTGGAAAACGCTGACAGCTACTACAATTGAGAATATGTCTTGTTTGACTGTGATCTTCTTTGGGAGAAGTTCTCGTAGCCTGCACGGCCTGTTATTACTGGATTCCTTATCATGTAATTTCAAATCGCGAAATCTTGAAATTCGATATTTGACATTTGATTCTTGAATCGGATGAACAGAACATTTGGAAATGGTTGCAAGCATTCCAGGCAGCGGAGCTAAGACAAAGGACTGCATTCAAAGTGACGAACAAATAAGTGGGAGTGATGGAAAAAATAATTGTGACAAGTAGAATAGTAACACTGACGAAAATGTAATGCACGAGACGGCAAGAAAATTGGGTTTTTATAGGGAAAGATTTTAGGAGTGACAGATGATGATTATCAATGAAATCAATTTTTGTGGAAAGAAGATGTGGGAAGTTGGGAGAAGTTCCCCAACACTTTCTTAAGGGGTAGATGTATGGAGTAGTGACAAACCTTGCGATGTAGAAAACAGAAATTGACCACTTCTACGATTGAGGAGAGAGAGCTATGTTTTTTTAGAAACGTATTCTTTTTCGGGAAGAAAAATGGGTAGAGGCTGGACGTAGTGCTTAGAATGCTGGCAAATCAAATGCAAGGCATAAGAGAGGGAGGAGATAGCTGTGTTTTCGCGCTTTTTGAATGAGAAAGGGAAAAATGTGGCGTGATTTAGGTGTGGAGATGTGAAAGGGAGTGAGAATGAGTTGCCTCAATTTATGATGGGAAGATAAGACATTGTGTGGTTTGTTATTCTAAGATCGTATGATTTTTACAACTCTATAGCGCAATAATTGCTACTCACGGCATATTCTTTTGTACTATTTGTAGACGGACGTTTTAGGAAACAACAGGTGTATCTGACGTTATCAAAATCCCATGAACAATTTTTGAGTCTACGTTTTATGACGGATCAACGTCTTTCCATATTCGGTCGGCATCTTTGAACTAGATTTCTAATCTTATTACAGGGTGCCGCTTAGCCAAATGCGTCTGTTTCCTAAATATAAAAGAACGATGAGTAAGAGAAGGGAAAAAAGTAAAAAAATGTCATTATATGTGAAGTACGCTGGACGAAACACTTTCATTTCCTATCAATTAAGTGCCATAGTGTGCAATTTTATGCCACTTTTAGACTATCCGCGTATCAATGCACATTTTCTGCTTTCCTAATCCCAATTTTTTTTCATTTCAATTTAGTAAAAGGGAAAATATTTTTAAAAATTCACGATATCCGAAAATGTGAAAAACTGAAAATTTTTCCAATACTTCAAATCTTTCTAACTCCTTAATTATAATATGAAAATGATACAATGTTATGAATTCTTCTTTTCGGACTCTATCGTGTTTACTACTGTTTTTCGATGTTATGTCATCTACTTCGCTCAAGCATGTGGTATTTTGAAAAGATCCACAAAACGTAAAAGTGTACAAACTGCAAAAGGGCGAGAAAATATTTAATTTCAAAATGGAGTTATATAGGCACTAAATGCATTTGTACACCTCTAATATATTCCAAAATTTATAATTAGTTATTACTAACATATTGTTTCAGATGTTTTATTATGAAATAGAAATGTTTTGTAAACGAGCAGATGAGAAGACAAATATTATGCTGCTGTATTATGTTAATAATTACAAGCGCGTTTACGGCATTTACACTGTGTGGTGTTATTTGACCGCCATCGGTGTTATTTGCGGGCCGTTACTGCTTCCGCAACAATTACCGACTCATGCAAAGTATCCGTTTTCCGTGGAACAGCATCCCGTAAAAAGTATAATATATTTACATCAGTCAATAGTCGGTTTACAAGCTGCAGCTGGACTGTGCATTCAGGTAAACCTCGCAATTCTTCTATTCTACTCTTCGGTGAGATTTGATTTGCTAGCACAGAAAATTCGTAATATTACGAATGAGCATGAACTCGATACGTGCATCCAGTTGCATGATGAAATATTAAGGTAAGATTATATACGAAATATTAAATTTGTATTTATACATATTTTACATATATATTAGTAATACAAATAAGTTTCCGCCGTTCTCAAAAAATGGCTCCACCGACAAGATTACTTTGAAATCGTCAGATGTAAAACATCATATAGAAAGTTTGGACACCTGGCAACAACATAACCTTAAAATACTATTGACTTTGTATTGTCAGTATACATTTTTTTCGTTCGAAAATGTCGAGTTTTGTACCGAATAAGCGTCATTTGCGGGAAGTTTTGATTTATTTCTTTCATTTAAAGAAATCTGCTGCTGAGGCGCATCGGTTGCTTGTAGAAGTTTATGGTGATGCTGCTTTAAGTGAGAGAAGTTGTCGTGAGTGATTTCAAAAGTTTAAAAACGGCGAGTTTGATGTGGAAAATAAAGAACCCAAAGGAAGGCCTGTAAAGTTTGAAGACGCTGAGTTAGAGGTATTATTGGACCAAGACTCATGCCAAACTCAAGAGCAGCTCGCAGAAAACTTGGGAGTGACTCAATAAGCGATTTCAAACCGTCTCAAGACCATTGGTATGGTACAAAAGCAAGGAAATTGGGTTCCGCATGAACTCAAACCCAGAGATGTCGAACGCCGTCTTTTTACGTGCGAACAACTTCTCCAAAGACAAAATCGGAAGGGTTTTTTGCAATTTCGAATAGTGACGGGGAATGAAAAGTGGATCCACTACGACAACCCAAAGCGT